CCCCAAAACCCCAAAACCCCAAAACCCCACAAAAGCTTGACTCGCTGAAACATTGGTTAATAAAAATGGTGGCTTGTGAAGAAAGACTTTTACATGAAACAAGTAAGACTTCCAAAAGGGGCACGCTGCAGTCTGTCGACACGTGTCTCAAGAGACAAGAGGAGATAGAGCAGGTAAATATAAGATTTGAGCATTTTGTGCAGAGGATTTTTGGAAAATTAAGGAAATTTTAAGACTGAGTCAACCAAAGCTAAAAAGACTAACAGCCATTAAAATTATGAGAAGGGATGGGTTTAGATTGAGTATTGATTTAGGTGAATAATTCTTTGCTATAGATTACAAATCTTTGAGAAAAATGATTTAATCGAAAATTTTTCATGAAGTCGTCTAAAAGTGCTCTAGAAATATTAAGAACGTTTAGAGCTCTCATAACTACGGTCTGAACTTTGTTGTTCCTTCCCGTCTGAGGTAATCCTTTTCATAATCTGCTCCTTTAACTCTTTTATGCAGCTTGCTTGGCTGATCCTTCTCAAAGCGTGGTCACATCAACAATTCCATCAACACTCCTTCCATTTACAGATCTGATAATTACAGTTCAAGCCAAGGACTTATCTGGGGTTTCTCTATCTTCAGGAGGGGACAACTTCTACATCATAGTGAAGAACGACTGCACTTGGGAAAGTGACTTCGAGTGAACCCCTGCTTCACCTGCATCTACAGCCTTGGATTCAGAAATCAACACTTTAATGACTGATAATGGTGACGGAACCTACCAATACACTTTGAGAGTAGACAAAGAAGGAGTTGTCACTTATAAAATCTTCTTGATTCAATCAGGAGTGGTAAATGTAGACTACTACAAGCATGATGGTACCTTCCTTGGGAGCACACAAAAGAACAAAATTGATTTTAGTTATGGCGGAATTACACTAGGAAGTTCTATAATTTATGTGAGTCCCTTGTCTCTTGCACTGAGTGTTTGCTTATAAAGATTGAGGTTAACCTTATTTATAGGATGGACGCTATGATTTTATCAGAGGAGAATTTAGAGCTTTAATCAAGCCTCCTCGATCAGAAGAATATAGATTCACTCTGAAGAAGAAGGACAGAGGATGGATAGAAATAGGTAACCTAAATTTTATTTATCCTCTTGCAACTCTCTTTACTAAATACTATCACCTATATTTTGCATCGTTAAAAACCAACAGAATTATAATTTCCCTAATAATTTCATTCATCTCTGAAGTAATGAAGTTCACTTTTAGAAATCTTACCAAGTCTTCCTTTGACTCGAAATTTCTTCCTAATTAGTTCTGATAAGATATTTCTAAAATATCCTCACCATGGTTATGAGAGGTCCTGAGCAGACTCAAAGCCTTGCTTTCTGTAAATTGAAATCATCCCAAACTCTTACTTGTAGAAAATTTATGATTTGCCTATATCCTGGCTTAACTTTATAATGTAAAACTAGAAAATCTTCGACAATTCTTCAGATTTTAAACACTCTTAATGAGTTAGGAAAGAGGATCAACAGAGAGTAGTAAATCTCTAAATGATAGCAATACAACCTGATTGTTCTCAAGCTGATAAGACTCCTACTCACGATGTTTATAGATGGTGTAAGCAAAATTCCAGGAGGATCCACTTATTCAGAAAGGTAACCTTGTTTATAGACACTCTTATGCATATGGAAGCTGGTTCTAAAAGACGAGAGTTTAGATATACTCTCTTTAGGGCAAAGTATATTGTTGGGCAAGGGAGGTTCTTTGTTTAAACACTTTTTGTTCTTATAATTTTAAGACAAACACTTTACTCCTGGATATAAAATTCAGAAAGAATAAATTAACTTAGCTTGCCGTGGGATAACTTCCTTGGAATTATAAATATTTTTACTCAAATTTAGAATATCAAAAACTACCAAATCAAGAATTACGTGCAACTAGCAGAATTCTTTGATCGAAAGTGGAAATTTAATAAATTGTTAAATAAATTCATTAATATCTGAAAATTTTATAATACATTAGAACCAAATTAAGAGGCTTCTTGAAAATTGACTCGGCCATAATAAAGAACTTTATTCCCAAATAATAATCGAATAAGAGATAGTATATCTTGAACCCATACTTAATAGTTCATTTTGAACTCTATTTACCTTCATATATATAAAATATAGCTATCCTGCCTTATGTTATCAATTTTATAAAAGCACACTCTTTATAACTTAGGCAAAATAACGAAATGTAGCCTACCAAATATGCTAGTTTAATCATGCCTTGAAGTTATTAATATAACTCATATGTATCATTGTTATTTGTATTCTCTTTGAATAATTATCAACATTTTAATCATATAGTTTTACAATGTCTATGAACCAAGCCAACCTGTACTATGTATATGTGAGCTGGGAAGAAGATATGAGTACAGCAGAAATAAAGCTGCATTGGAATGAAACTGGGTCAACTAGTGCTATCCAATCTCAGTATTTTGTAAAACCTCTATTGATAACAAATGGAAATAGTAAGTATCTCATTTTATGGGGGAAATTAATATCGATCATAGTTGAAATTACTTGTCCTTCTGGATATGGAATTCAAGCTTCAGATCCTTCTTCCTGTACTGAAGTTTGTGGAGATGGCATTCTCACCACAAGCGAAACTTGAGATGATCAAAACACTGCTAGCGGCGATGGCTGATCCTCAGACTGTCATGCCATTGAATACAATTACATCTGTGTATATAATTCAGGAATTCCAGGCCATGAGTGCTCTTCTTGTGGAACCAGTGGGTATCCCAATACTGCTAAAGACACATGTGAGTTATGTAGCTCAGGGTTCCAACACATCCCAGCTTACCCAGATACTTGTACAGAAATTTGAGGTGACGGAATTCAGACATCTGGTGAAGTTTGAGATGATGGAAATAGTGTAAATGGGGATGGGTGTTCAGCTGATTGCAAGGCCATTGAGTACAACTTTATCTGAGTTTACAGCTCAACTTTGTTGAAAGATTATTGCACTTCTTGAGGCACATCAGGGTACCCCAATACTGCCAAAGACTCATGAGTGTCATGAGCTTTAGGATTCCAGCACATTCCTTCGAATCCTGACACTTGCACTGAAATATGAGGTGACGGAATACAAACATCTGGTGAAGTTTGAGACGATCAGAACACTGCTGATAATGATGGCTGATCGTCAGACTGTAAAGCCATTGAGTTCAACTACATCTGAGTATATGACTCAGGCAATGCTCGTGATGTCTGAACTTCTTGATCTTCAACTGAAATACCCAACTCCGATTTTACTGCATGAGTTCCATGTGAAAATGGATACTCACACAAACCAGAGTCGCCAAACGAATGCACACCAGTCTGAGGGGATGGACTCAGAGTCACCGAAGAAGCTTGTGACGACAACAACACTGTCAGTGGAGATGGATGATCTGCTGATTGCTCTCTGATCGAAGACCAACACATCTGAGTGACCAACCAGACTCTATCCAAAGATGTTTGAACTTTGTGTTCAGACTTACAGACTCCAAACTCAAACAAGACCAAATGAGATGCTAAGTCAGGTAAGCTTGTGAGTAATGTGTAGTGGATCCGTTGGGAGTCATGACTCCGACTACAACAAGTGCTGTTGCCACTTCAGTGATGGCGACAAGTGTGGCTTCAAGCTCAGCAACGATCTTGGTCAGTGCAGGCTCATCACAAAGTGTGTTCAGTGCTGTGAATCAGTTCCAGTTGCTGCTTTTGTTTCCACTTTTGAGACTCCATCTTCCTGAGTTAGTTGTTAACTTTTATGGTGACTTGAACTGGTCGATGGGGTCAGTTGAGTTCATCAGTTTAGATGACATTCCGTATGCCAATGAGCTTTGGAGTCCGTTGTCAGCTGAACAAACTGATGAAATACTCAACATTGTGGGAATTCAGAACAAGAGCACATTCATCAACATTTTGTCTGTATTCTGAATACTTGTAATTGTTGTTGCTTTCCATTTGTTGTTTTTAGTATTGTATTTAATAACTCGGAAACAAGACTCTGACAACAAACTAGCATCTTGGATCGAGAAGAAGTATAAGAACTTTGTATTCAATGTGTACATCAGAATGATTCTTGAAACAATGATGATAGGCTCGATTTCATGTCTGACAGAAATTAAAGCTTCTGACACTTCTACAGTTCCAAACATTGTATCGCTGGCTATTTCTTGAATGTTAATTGTGTTGTACATCTTCATAATATTGGTCAACTTTGTGGTGTGGGTCATCAACAAGAGCAAAGAACAAGATCAGATCTCTCATCGATTTAGTGAGTTCTTTGATGGGGTTAGACATACAAAATATTCCAGACTCTACTTACTCTGTGATTCAGTTAGAAAAATAGCTTTGGTGTCAATGCTGATTCTAACAACCTGGGCAAGCGACTTGGCCAGAATCGTGTCATTCATTGTGATCCAATGAGCATTCTTTGCATATATCTTCATAGTAAAACCATTTGACATGACAAGAGACAACCTCAGAGAAATACTGAATGAGCTGATGGTGGCATTCTATTCTGTGTTCTTTCTAAAATACAGATCTGAGAGCGACTGGTCAGATAGAGAATCGTGGGTAAGAATTGCAGTTTTATTAATAGATCTACATTGGAATTGCTACATTGAACATAATGACAGGATCAGTAATCGGGTTCAGTAAACATAGTTATTTTTGATTATATAGCTTGCTTAATCATTGATATTCGTACTAAGTGTAGAAAGCAAAGCCCTCAAAGAAAATTCCCTCCACAAAGAGTGTTTCCATTTAACACTAACCAAAATGTAGAAAAGCTCAATAACTCGGTCATCAATGTAACATCTCTCCCTTCCCCTCTAATTTCTCTAGAAGACAAGGAGCACTTCTGAGCTTCATCTCCAAGGTAGATCCAGTCTTCCAAAAATGCCTAACCACATTTACTCCATCCAGGACGACCTGAATGCCATTCAGGTTGCGCCTCGGTACAATGAAGATCGGAGTTTCCCACAGAGGCTGTTTTATAAATAAGTTCAGCCATTATTCGGCCTTTTTAATATATTAAATATATTTGGGATTCAAACTTTTGGGGGTATCACGGGGTTTTGGGGTTTTGGGGTTTTGGGG